GACTTGAACTAGGCGAATAATTTTCAGAAATACCACTACTTCGAGTTTTCCCTTAAACCATTTATCTTTGTCGCATTTTTCCTATCCGAAGACAAATTTGGACGTAATTATGTAAATAATTTTTCGTAACAAAACTGTGTCTCGTTTGCTTTCCCGACAAGCTTTATTTAACTCAAACGGTAAGCAATGTGCAGCACATTTTCCCGCCTTTTAGTGCCGTCGCTTCATTTAGATCAAACTGCAATGTCCACATTATCCAATGGATTGAAGAATTTCATAAAACAGTGATTTAATTCCCGTTTGTTGGAAACGAAGTGATTATAACTAACTCCGCGCTGATCTCCTCTTCTGTTAGTGATCGCCTCGAATCCAACGTGGGTTCATGGAATAATTGTTAAGTAATCTACTCCCAGAGTTTATTCCGTTCAAACACAAAGCCCACAGGGAAACGAAACCCTATTTTAGCTGATAGCCAGGGCACAGTAAGTCTACTACTCTTTGTAGCAACTTTGCATGGAATAGCCCGGATTAATAGATCGTTTTGACGTGACGTCACGAGATTCCAAAATCCAAAACTAAAGAGCCACGAAAAGTTTTGGTCTCATCAGGCATAAGGAGATCTAAATTTATTTAACAAATAAAGAAGCCTCCACTGTGCTCTGTTCTGTTGCAAAAGCACGCAGGAAGCGGTTGAGCACGGAGGAGGTGTAGGGGGAAACACGAAACGCAGTCGAGTGTGTCTCCCTACTTCTTGAGTGCTCTACCGCTTCTTAAATATACACTTATCTCGTGATTCTTAGCCATTTTAGGAGTTAAACTATTACGAAAAGCGCGTGTGTAAATGTTTGTTTGTTCAGTTCAGATAATCAGTCGACTAGATAGCCAAAGTAAGTTCCAGTTGTTTACACTATTTTCCGGCTCCCATATTGGTGGACAACGGAGGTCCAACAACATGGCGGCTCCATACTGGGGTCTGTAAATTTGCGCAAAATACTTCGACGAATATCTGAAGTTTGGGAAAACGCAGAGACCTAAAACTTAGAGAAGTGTCTTCTTTACTTATCTCTTATAACATTACAATTTCTTGACTTAATCCACTGAATAGTTTTTGATTTATTTTTTCGTTATGTGACAGGAAAACGATCTATAGGGTTGCACTATACATTCACCGAGTGGCTGTGCTAACCAGGAGGCCATATGAAACGGGTGACCGTGAGAAGGGGTTCTACCGTAAAATTATTGACAAGGAAAGAGTTTTATCGAAAGTAAAAGCTGGTGTTTTCTTTTTAACAAGTTACTTTTTCCGCTTCCCTCTCTTCCCGGCTATCTTTGCACTTCGTCGGTCAGGAAGGAAAAAGCTGCCAATGTTTCGAATGCAAAAGGCCCACAATTCCACTTCGCCGTTTTACAATAAGGGAATGTGATTGGGTGCGAGGACGTTTCCGCTTATTGTTATATTGACAACTGTTCCTAGTCTTAAAGTTCATCATTAACCATTTCATGACATATCTGCGCCATTGAAGCATATCTACTGTCAGCAGAAAATTCCAATTTCAGCTCAGTTAATTTTAGAGACTAAAGTTGACATGTTCGGCGATATTTGTTTTAACCCTGTTTAACATTTCACATATTGTTAAATTTGATGCAAATCAGTCGACTGAATTTCCTCTGGAGCCCATCAGAACAAAAGCGGAGAAACAGACGGACATTTACCAACGCGGAGACTCACCTTAACTTCCAAGCAAAGTCGTGTTAGCTGAGGTTTAAGTCAAGAGGTAAGTGAAGTTTTTGTCCACCAGGAAAGAGGAAACAGAAATGAAACTTTAGAATATGTTTTTAGGCAAGGAACGTCTCTGTTCCTTAGGGCAGCCGACTAAAAGATATTCAGCACATCTGCCGCTTGAGTAAGTCATGTTTTGGTAGATTCTGGCGGTAAAACTACAATACTAACACAAAAAAGGA